TTTTTTAATTTTCAGCTGATAGGTAGATGGACTTTGTTATAGTGAATTTATGACGTTATGATAAAATAAAGTTCTTTAAGAGGGGGATAAAAAAAAATGTTCTAAAAGAATATGTATAAAATATATGCTCATGAAATTCTAAACACAGGAATTTGAAAATCTAAATTAAAAATTATTTTATGATAGTTTTTGTATGAATCATTAGTATCTGTCGTATTTTGCAGTACTCCATAAAAACAGGAAAAATTCATAAAATATATTTTGAGATGCCCCTCTGGAAACCAGATGATAGAATTTTGTGTATCTTTCAGATAACATACAATATAGTGTAACTCAAACATATAATTCAAGCAAAAAGTCTATTGTAGTATTTGTAAAGGATGATGTGCCATACGGCCTCCGGTAAATTGACAAAAAATAAAATGTCTAAATTTTACTCTAATTTTGCATCCACATAATCACTAATATGTGCACCGTCATGGAATACTACTTTTACTGAAAATAGAAACACAATTTGGAAGATATTTATCTTTATTTTGAGTAGGGGTTCCATTTTTACATCCAATTCCCATTGAAATTTGGCCCCGCCCTACTCTTTGAAGCCCTTAAAATATATGAGCGCAAGTAGGTACATTTTTCTCCTTTGGATGGTCGCTGTATTTTATTGAAATCTACCTATATGTGAAAGGAGAAAATTGTACCTAACTGCGCTCAAATGTTGTATTTAAAACATTGTAAAATCTGGCTGGTCCACCCCATTACGAACAGATTGATGAAGCAATTTTTCTGATGTAAGAACAAATTCATATGCTAATCGAGGCACTGGCGTGACTCTCTAACCGACCAATCAGCTAAATGAGTTGTATTACGAGTGAGTACTGAAAAATATCTAAGGAAAGGATGACTGCACTTAAGGTTTTGCCAAAGGTCAAGATGTCCAAAAATTTATTTTTACAACAGCTCCAAAACTATGTGGTTTATAAAGTTAAAAACTTTTACAGTTTATAAATATATCATTGATTAACAGATAGAAAGTATCACTTGATAACAAATACTTAAAAAAATCTTTATAGAGAAAAAATCTTTTTAAAAAAATGCATATATTTTTAAAAAATGCACCTAATTCCGTACTTTTAGTGAAAGCTATCATTGCAGAAACAATATACGTTTATCAATGAAGGGCAAGTTGGACTTCGATAGCCTCTGGAAAGTTGTTTTCCCTGTTTATTTTGTCCAAATGTTAAGATTTGAAACCGAAAGTACATTGCAAATGGCGGATTTTATAGGGGTCTTGTCTTTATACAGGTCATGCTTTCAATAACAGCCTTTCAGAGACCGTTCACGTCCAACTTGCCCTTCATTGATAAACATATATTATTTCTGCAATGATGGTTTTCACTAAAAGTACAGAATTAAGCAGTTGCATTTTTTTTAAAATATGCAAATTTTTTGAATTTGTTTTCTCAAAATTTTTTTTTTTCAAATATTTATTTTCAAGTGATACTTTCTATCTGTTAATCAATGATATATTTATAAACTGTAAAAGTTTTAACTTTATACCTCACATAGTTTTGGAGCTATTGTAAAAATAAATTTTTGGACATCTTGACCTTTGGCAAAACCTTAAGGACATGCGAAATTTGCGACAAAATAAACTTTCAAAACAAGCATTTTTCTTTTCATTTCAAGAATGGTCAACATCCAATCTACAACTTTATGTAATTACGGTTAATAAAAGTGTGTATTTACGAAGTTCGAATCTGTTTTCAATGCAGGGGTCATCACAATTTCTTGAATCTCCGTTCGATAATGAGGACGCCCACTTTTTAGCTCACCTGAGCCGAAGGCTCAAGTGAGCTTTTCTGATCACATTTTGTCTGTAGTCCGTCTGTCCGTCTGTCCGTCTGTCCGTCCGTCTGTCTGTAAACTTTTCACATTTTCGACTTTTTCTCAAGAATCACTGGGCCAATTTCAACCAAACTTGCCACAAAGTATCCTTGGGTGAAGGGGATTCAAGTTTGTTCAAATGAAGGGTCACGCCCTCTTTCAAGGGGAGATAATAAAGAATTAGTGAAAAATTAATAGCATCTTTTAAAAATCTTCTTCTCAAGAACCACAAAGCCAGGGAAGATGAAACTCATGTGGAAGCATCCTCAGGTAGTGTAGATTCAAGTTTGTTCAAATCATGACCCCCGGGGGTAGGGCGGGGCCACAATGGAGGATCAAAGTTTTACATAGAAATATATGGGGAGAAACCTTTAAAAATCTTCTTCTCAAGAACAGCAAAGCCATGAAGAGTCATATTTATATGGAAGCATCCTCAGGTAGTGTAGATTCAAGTTTGTTCAAATCATGACCCCCGGGGGTAGGGCGGGGCCACAATGGAGGATCAAAGTTTTACATAGAAATATATAGGAAAAATCTTTAAAAATCTTCTCCTCAAGAACAGCAAAGCCATGATGAGTCATATTTAAATGGAAGCATCCTCAGGTAGTGTAAATTCAAGTTTGTTCAAATCATGACCCCCGGGGGTAGGGCGGGGCCACAATGGAGGATCAAAGTTTTACATAGAAATGAATGGGAAAAACCTTTAAAAATCTTCTCCTCAAGAACAGCAAAGCCATGATGAGTCATATTTATATGGAAGCATCCTCAGGTAGTGTAAATTCAAGTTTGTTCAAATCATGACCCCCGGGGGTAGGGCGGGGCTACAATGGAGGATCAAAGTTTTACATAGAAATATATGGGAAAAATCTTTAAAAATCTTCTCCTCAAGAACAGCAAAGCCATGATGAGTCATATTTATATGGAAGCATCCTCAGGTAGTGTAAATTCAAGTTTGTTCAAATCATGACCACTGGGGGTAGGGCGGGGCCCCAAAGGAGGATCAAAGTTTTACATAGAAATATATGGGAAAAACATTTAAAAATCTTCTTCTCAAGAACAGCAAAGCCATGATTGGTCATATTTATATGGAAGCATCCTCAGGTAGTGTAGATTCAAGTTTGTTCAAATCATGACCCCTGGGGGTAGGACGGGGCCACAATGGAGGATCAAAGTTTTACATAGAAATATATAGGAAAAATCTTTAAAAATCTTCTTCTTAATAACAGCAAAGCCCTAATTGATCATATTGATATGGAAGCATCCTAAGGTAGTATAGATTTAAATATGTCCAAATCATGACCCCTGGGGGTAGGGTGGGGCCCCAAAGGAGGATAAAAGTTTTACATAGAGATATATAGGAAAAATCTTTAAAAATCTTCTTCTCAAGAACAGCAAAGCCCTGATTGATCATATTTATGTGGAAGTATACTCAGGTAGTGTAGATTCAAGTTTATTCAAATGTTGCCCCCCTGGGGTTGGGTGGGGCCACAATGGAGGATCAAAGTCTGAAATAGAAATATATAGGAAGATTTCTTCTGATGAAGAACTGCAAAGCCATGATTAGTCATTTTGATATGGAAGCATCATCAGGTAGTGTAAATTCAATTTTGTTCAAATGATGACCCCCGAGGGTAGGGTGGGGCCCAATAGGGGGATAGAAAATTTTACATAAGAACACATAGAAAAAATATTTCTTCTCAAGAACAGGAAAGCTATGTTTAGTCATATTGATATGGAAGCATCTTCAGGTAGTGTAGATTCAAGTTTGTTCAAATGATGACCCCCGAGAGTAGGACGGGGCCACAATGGAGGATCGAATGTTACATAAGAACATATAGAAGAAATATTTCTTCTCAAGAACAGAAAAGCTATGTTTAGTCATATTGATATGGAAGCATCCTCAGGTAGTGTAGATTCCAGTTTGTTCAAATGATGACCCCTGGGATAGGGAGGAGCCACAAGGGGGGCATCTTCGCTCAGCCAAGGGTTTCTGATACGCTACTCTCCTCATAAACCCTTGGCATATGGTGCTGACAAAAGACGGGATTGTTTTTGTCACGCGATCATGATTCTTACCAGGTATGCACAGATTGTGTCATCGACAGAAATAAAAAGCGTATTTAAAAAAAAATTTTGTTTTTAAAGAATAATTAACAAGAAGGTATCCAGATATGTTAATTTGTTATTTAAACATGTAAAAATGCAAATCTACATCTTCAGTATAGATTCTTAATCACATATTTTGCACGTAGCTTTAGATATTGGATGACACCATATAGCTATTCATAGAATGGCATGTTATCTTACGGATCATTGTTTACTTGCGTTTTACATTACCGATATTAAAGAGTCAAGATATATCCCGAACGCAAATATCGTCATTTACAAAAAACAATTGCTGATTGGTCGAACGATGTCGATCAACTCCAATCACAACTTGAGAAAAAAATCCCAACTTTTTTTAACACCGTATGCCAAGGGCTTATGAGGAGAGTAGCGTATCAGAAACCCTTGGCTAGCGAAGATGCAAGGGGGGATCAAATTTTTACAAAGGAATATATCAGAAATTTTTTTTAAAATCTTCTCAAGTACAACAAAGCCATTTGTTATTTTGACCTGGAAGCATCATCAGGTAGTTTAAAATTCAAGCCCCCCCCCCCCCCCCCCCGGAATCTTTTCAATACTGAACTGATTTGTGCTTTTGCCTATCCACTGTGCTCAGGTGAGCGATGTGGCCCATGGGCCTCTTGTTTTACTGACTTCATACATAGTCAGCGCATGTTTGTTTATTGTTCTTCGTTTAACAGTAGTTATATATTTGCATAAATAATAATGTGTCAAAAGCAGATTAATAGACAAACATGTGCTCATGGTTAAAAAGAGATCACTTTAGTTTTTTTTTTCTAATTTGTAAAAGATTTCAGTTATTGACAGAATGAAGTGTGAGGTATGTTGACTCTTTCCAAATAATGATCATTGAAGCTGAACTTTGGATATCTTGTACAGCTGGATATCTCGAAGTTTTTTCTCGGTCCCATCAAGTTCAAGATAACAAGGTTTAACTGTATATGATAAACACTGTATATGATATACTTGTATATTTTATTTTTCAGTCTCATTTTCATGGGGTCAAAGAAACACTGCCAAAATAAATGAAGATTTCAAGTCTTGGATAAGAATTGACAAAGGAAATCCACTACCAAGTAAGTATGAGATAAGAATTGACAAAGGAAATCCACTACCAAGTAAGTAGGGGCTTGGAAATGAAGTGCTTCATCTGACATCATGAGAATGTATACAGATCTGCCTGTGACTGATTCAAACTACAACCAACTTGGACCATTAAAAAATTGGCCTTCCACAAAGATATCTTAAAAAACAACCAAAGGTGACTGAATGGTTTCTAAAATAGCTACCCAAGCAAACACAAAATGGATTTTATTGAAAAGCAGTAGCTTCTGAATAAAAGCGGTAGGTGGGAGATGGAGTAAATAAGCGGTAGAGTTAACATGTATGACATTGGGGCACAGAGATGTCAACCAAGAAGTAGGTCACAGTGACGTACATTTTATATCAATATTTTATCATACAATTACAAGACTTTTTAGCTTAAGAAACTAAAAGGACTAGAATTATCAACCAAGGCAGTTGACATATATTTGGGCAGTGGGATATGTTGACCCAAAAGTAGGACACAGTGACAATGTTGTCACTGATTTTAGGCCCTTGGGCCTCTTATTTCAATTCTTGAATAAAATTTTGTTGAAAGTTACCTGAGTTACTTCTAAAGGTGACCTAATGCTATCAGTTTTCATCTGTCATAGTGCCTTAACGTGTGAACATTTTAGCTTAGTCTTTGGAAAAGCTGAATTAGTTTCGATGTTCAGCATGTTGAAAATATAATTAAATATAATTACATCTTTGAAAGCCTTTTACTCGTGGGATTTAGCAGGCAAATTATTTTGGAATCCATGATTATTACTAAGCCTTCTACCAAAACTTCTACCAAAATTTCTCATGGTCACCTAACAGACAAATTATTTGCAGGATTAATGAGCATATAGCCCTCTACAAAAATAATGTAAACTAGATGCGATCTCGTTGCGAGCAACGAGTGGGTCTTCCGTCCGATTTTTGATAAGATGAGATAAGAATATGACTGAGACTTTTGTTAAAATATAATGATATAAATAAATTGTTAAGACGAACAATTTTGCTTCAGTAATCTATAACAAGATGTTGATCATTAAAGATTATAGATTAGAGACTTTCGGCCCGTCTTTGCCCCTATTTTGAGGGGCCAGCCCTATTTCTTGATATCTTCTTACAGCTCTCATGATTTTGAACACTTTTTGTTCAACAACTATTCTAAAATTCTTTTTCGTTTCCGAGATATCTGAAAAAAAAATTAATAGGGGCCGGCCCTTCAACTCCTTAATGGGAACGTTTAGCAAAAATTGAAAGGTAACATATTGTTCAGAACATTATTGTGAACATCTTTTATTCAATATTGCTTATCAAAATATTTCCCACTTTCGAGATATAAAGCGTCAAAGATTTAGCATTCTGGCCCCTAATGTCCCCTTATAACGTCAAAGATTTAGCATTCTGGCCCCTATTGTCCCCTTATAACGTAACATATGATGCCAACAACATGTTATATAGTTAAGGAGTGTGATGATGATCTATTCTGCCTTGTAATGTATTACAAAATATTGATCGTTTAAGAGTTATTGATGAAAGACTTTCGGCCCCTATCGGCCCTTATTTTGAGGGGCAAGTCCCTTTTTCTTGATATCACCTTAAAGCTCTTATGATTTTGAACACTTTTCGTTCAACAACTACTCAGAAATTCTTTTTCGTTTCCGAGATATCTGCAAAAGAAATATTTAGGGGCCAGCCCTTCAACTCCTTAATGGAGACGTTTAGCAAAAATTGAAAGGTTACATATTGTTCAGAACATTATTGTTAACATCTTTTATTCAATATTGCTTATCAAAACATTTCCCACTTTCAAGATATAAAGCGTCAAAGATTTAGTATTTCGGCCCCTCATGACCTCTAATTATGTAACATGTGATGTGAATAACATAATATATAGTTTTAGTTTGCTCAGATAAACATTTTTGCTGCAGTAATATTTTACAAAATATTGATCGTTAAAGAGTTATTGATGAAAGACTTTTGACCCCTATTGGCCCCGATTTTGAGGGGCCAGCCCCTTTTTCTTGATATCACCTTAAAGCTCTCATGATTTTGAACACTTTTTGTTCAACAACTATTCAGAAATTCTTTTTCGTTGCCGAGATATATGCAAAAGAAATATTTAGGGGCCAGCCCTTCAACTCCTTAATGGGGACGTTTAGCAAATATTGAAAGGTTACATATTGTTTAGAGCATTATTTTGAATATCTTTTGTTCAATATTGCTTATCAAAATATTTCCCACTTCCGAGATATAAAGTGTCAAAGATTTAGCATTCTGGCCCCTTATGGCCCCTAATTATGTAACATATGAGATTTTTATTATAATACATAGTTGTAGATTGTTCAGAAAAACATTTTTGCTTTAGTAATGTATAACAAAATATTGATCGTTAAGGAGTTATGGATTTAAGACTTTTTGCCCCTTTTGGCCCCTAATGTGATGAGTCAGCCCTTTTTTCTTGATATCATATAAAAGATCTAGTAATTCTACACAATTTCTGTTCAATATGTTTTAGGAAAATATTCATAGTTTTGAAGATATGATAAAAAATGTCTCAAAAATTCACTCCTGATTCATGTCCTAAATTTTGACCCCTACCGAGTTTCTATACTAGGCACTTTCAGAAAATTTGAAAACTGAGGTGCACAACTTTACATGTCCTCTATTATCACTGAAAATTTCAGCACTCTAGCTTTTGTCGTTTTTGAGTTTTTGTGTAGACAAAATGGTCACTAAAAATTCGATTAAAGGGCGATAACCTCCGACCAGAAGTGAATTTCCAAAAAATAAAAAATATGAATAAGGTTTAGATCATGATACATCATCTCTGAAAATTTCAAGTGAATCCATCCAACCATCTCTGAGAAATCGTCTGCACAAAATTTGGACAGAAAAAAAAAAAAAAATAATAATAACTAGATGCGATCTCGTTGCGAGCAACGAGTGGGTCTTCCGTCCAATTTTTGATAAGATGAGATAAGAATTTTACTGAGATTTTCGTTAAAAAATAGTTATATAAATAAATTGTTAAGACAAACAATTTCCCTTCAGTAATGTGTAACAAAATATTGATCAATAAAAAGTTATAGATTAAACACTTCCGGCCCGTCTTGGCCCCTTACTTGAATGATCAGCCCCTTTTTCTTGATATCATCTTAAAGCTCTCATGATTTTGAACATTTTTTGTTCAACAACTATTCAGAAATTCTTTTTTGTTTCCGAGATATGTGCAAAAGAAATATTAAGGGCCGGCCCTTTAAGTCCTAAACGGGGACGTCTAGCAAAAATTGAATGATTGCATATTATTAAGAATATTATTTTGAACGTCTTTTGTTAAAATATTGGTAATCAAAATATTCTTCCTTTTCAAGATTTATTGCACCAAAGATTATACAGTCTGACCCCTAATTATCCCTTATTGCATAAGATATGGCGTAAACACCATGTTATATAGCTAAAGAGTGTGAAGATGAACTATTTCGCTTCAGTAACATATTACAAAATATTGATCATTAAATAGTTATTGATTTAAGACTTTCGGCCCCTCTCGGTCCCTATTTTGAGGGGCCAGCCCCTTTTTCTTCATACCACTTTAAAGCACTTATGGTTTTGAACACTTTTTGTTCAAAAACTATTCAGAAATTCTTTTTTGTTTCCGAGATATATGCAAAAGATATATTTAGGGGCCAGCCCTTCAACTCCTTAATGGGGATGTTTAGCAAAAATCGAAAGGTTAGATATTGTTTAGAACATTATTTTGAACATCTTTTATTCAATATTGCTTATCAAAATATTTCCCACTTTCGAGATATAGAGTGCCAAAGATTTGGTATTCTGGCCCCTTATGGACCCTAATTATGTAACATATGATGTATATATCATAATATATGGTTGTAACTTGTTAAGATAAACATTTTTGCTTCAATAATGTATACCAAAATATTGATCGTTAAAGAGTTATTGATTTAATACTTTTCGGCCCTCTCGGCCCCTAATATGACAAGTCAGCCCTTTTTTCTTGATATCATATTAAAGATCTTGTCATTCTGCACAAATATTGTTCAGTATGTTTTTACAAAATAATTATACTTTAAAAGATATCATACAAAATGTCTCAAAAATTCACTCAGGATTCGTGTCCGAAATTTCGACCCCTACCGAGCTTCCATACTAGGCATTTCCGGAAAATATCCAAACCCAGGTGCAAAATGGCAACATGTCCTCTATCATCACTGAAAATATCAGCGCTCTAGCTTAAGCCATTTTTGAGTTCCATCGCAGACAAGGAGGTCCTCTAAATTTTGATAAAAGGGCGATAACCCCGGAGCGGAAGTGATATTCTAAAAATTGTTCAGCCGGAATTAACTTCAGATAACCTAGCAACAATCCTGAAAATCTGAAGCAAATTCATCGATCCATCTCCGAGAAATCGTCTGCACAAAATTTGTGCAGAAAAAAAGAATAATAACTAGAAACTCATTGCGAGCAATGAGAGGTCTTCTGTCCGATTCTGAAAAGAAGAAAACTCAAGCTGAAAAAGTGATAAAAGAAATTCAGACACTCTGGAGATTTAACCCTGGTCGTCAGCTTGAAAATCCAACGTGCTAACCATAAACCATCCCCTTTTTTGCATCACTTCCTGTCACGTCCGGAAGTAACGGCGATACAAGATTTTGTCACGATTCAAATAAACTGATGACGGACTATCAGTCCTGAAAGTTTTAGACTTCAGTCGTTTACTGTTGCCGAGCAATAGACCGGAAGTTGACGTTTTATTTCCGGTGGAATCTAACATATTTTAAAACAGCGAAAGAGATGCAATAAAGTGATGCAAGTTTTAGTTTAAAAATGAAAGAAGAGAAATAATATGAGCGCATCCTCTGATCTAAAAAATAAAACAGGTTTTGTAATCCTCAGAAATAGTTCTACCATTTAATAGTTGCTTATTTAAGATCATAGGTTACGTCCTATATTAAATATCGAAAAATGGCTTTAT